CCCCCCCTCTCCCCCATAGTTTTCTTACAGTGAATGGCAAGCTGCACATAAATACTAGCAGTCTCCCAATGGATGCTGATTGGTTGGTTAATCATTTCTAACGTGAAGTACCCCTTTGGTGTACATTTTCCAAACAAATAAACATACTGCCGGTCACCAGGTCTACCCGTTGATGTCTGAACTTGACCTTGAGTTCAAGGTCACCAGTATTTGTACTGGTTTGAGATTTTTCATAGATGCACCTGCCTTTCAAAGTCCTACATCGACTTGTTTTGGAGATATCTCATTCACAACTTTGGTGTCCACGCCACTTGCCTATACCCCGTCTATACGTCTATACCCCATAACCCTTTTATGTCTGAGGGGTAACTCATATGGATGTAAAAGAAAGCGCTGATTCGGATTGTCAAAAGTGTTGCTGTCAGGAGTTTGCTGCTAAAGTGAATTACGGTGCTGTGACATCACATATAGTCTCAGAATCGTATTTCACGCTAATCAAAACCCAAAACACAAAAACGTTAGAAACACGGAACCACCATGTTTTGAAACTTGATGAAAAATTTCCTGTTTGCCCCATGAAATTTACACCTCCATCAGACTGGCTCACAAACCTCCCAGTGGACCAGGAAGTCCAGAGGGTGGGCAGTTCTCTAGTGTTTTGGAGCGCTGGGGTAAAATTAAAACGTGTGACTGTGCTGTTTTGCTTTCAGGAAGCTGGCGGTGTTTGATACGTGGAGCAAAGTAGTTGTACACGTGGCGATGGACAACACTGTGGTCATCGAGGAGATCAGTGAGTGCAGCTGTGTTGCAACTGTGGACTGTTTACACAGTTCCTGTTTGACCAAATCTAACAGTTTCTGTGTGTAAACATCTACAGATTGATATGAGTCTCTGCAAAGAAACCAAGTTCATCCAAAGACCGAGTTATGCTGCTACTTAATTTACCAGTAGCAGCATAACTCTACACAGACCTAATTTGTATCTGGTGTAGTTTTCCTTCACTGTATTGTACTGGCAGCATGGTCGACAGTAATCTGAGTAATTTTTTTTGTGATCATTTTTCTGTAGAGCGCCTTTGCATGCCCTGGCTGGATGCTGCAGGAGCCTATGGAGAATCGGAGGGAGTTGGGGAGCTTAATGGATGCCTGGAGGGAGCGTGTGCCATGGCTGAGGAGGAGACGGCGCTCTGGAGACCTCTGGTACTGCTCATCCCCCTCAGGCTGGGCCTGAGCGATATAAATGATGCCTACATTGATACCCTCAAGGTGAGAAACTAGCATGTACAGCATAATGACACAACTAATTCTGTGAGTAGTTATGGCCATTGTATCATGAAAAATGAGCACTGTCAGTGCAGATGTGATTTGCAAAATGGGAAAAATGACAGATAACCACAAAGAAATGACATAATGACGAACTGTAGATTGTGAGGCATTTAGAAATCAGAAATCCAATACTGTTAAGGAGAATCACACATGAAGGAAGTAGCAGCGTAGAGACCTTAGAAATCAATGACACTGAGCCCAGACTACAGCTGATATAACTGTTGGTGAATTAAAGTGGGCTCAGGCAAAACTATTCTAAACTACAAGGCAAGGGAAATGACAACCAATGAGAGCAAATGATACAGTTGACTGACACGCAACAGCTTGGTACACACATTTACAGACGGTTACCTAGGCAACTGGAGCCTGGAGCAAGTGTGACCAACCACCAGTCAGAAAGTCATGCAGGATGTCTGTCTTTGGATGCTCTTTTATGTTAGTGACCAGGAAAATAACTATTTAAAAGTTACGACAGTCTGAGCATGTAGTGTCCTCGGCTTTTCAGTCAGATAATGGATGTAGTCTCCGTGTGCCTGACTTTTATCCGTACTAAAACTCTAAAAGGGTTGTGGGTAGTGCAGATGCCTGTTTGGGAACAAGATAAATAATTCATCAGCAGTGCCAAGATACAAAAGTATTCAAAAGCAGCTTCTGCTAATTTAAATCTCTATCCACTTCCAGAATTACAAGTCACTTCCACAGATTCAATAATCTCAGTGCTGTAGAATTTATGTACGGCCTCCCACTGCCCGCTTCTCAATCCCAGCGTCTAACACATGGAGTAAAAAGCACATCTCTGTTCAGCTGAAACGGAAATAAAAAGCTTCATTATTAATTTAATGACCCCTCATGACTGACAGCATTATGGGATCAACAATGCAAGAACGGTACTTGAATAAAACTCCCGTTAAGTTATCATAGATTTTAATTTAGGGAAAGGGATTTTAAGGAGACATTCAGTGCCAGCATGGTGTATATATATATATATATATATAAGCCAAATTCAGCCACAGCTGGGGTGAGATAAACCCTCTTGTCTCTTTTCACAGCAATGCTTCATGCTGCCTCAGTCCCTTGGTGTTATTGGGGGAAAACCCAACAGTGCCCATTACTTCATTGGTTATGTCGGTATGTCTAGTCTCTGTGTTTGTGAAATAAACTGTGCATTCTAAACAGCTCATGTTCATCATGTGATTCTTTTTTTCCTTCTCTTCTTAAACACCTTCATTAAGTTACCCGCTTGGGTCTGAACACGTGTTTTTGTCCCCAGGAGAAGAACTCATCTATTTAGACCCACACACCACACAGCCTGCAGTGGAGCCGTCTGAAGACAGTCAGGTCCCCGATGAGACGTACCACTGCCAGCACCCACCCTGTCGCATGCACATCTGTGAACTGGACCCATCCATCGCAGCGGTAGGACTGCCAGGGAGAGTTTGACAGTGCAGAGCTCTTAGAACAGTCTTCGTCTCTTAGACCAGCAGTCCCCAACCTTTTTTTGCGCCACGGAGCAGTTTATGTCTGACAGTATTTTCCTCCGTACAGTAAAGAGGATAATAAAGGGGAAAACAGATTACCCACTAACTAAAGAAAAAGATCCATAGCTGAACCTTCCATTAGGTTAACAGATGTTAACAGATCTCATCCCAAGTTTGTCCAGCATTTGTTGGAAAGTATGAAAGAGCCTGATAAGGCAGTGGGGGCATGTAAAGAGCTAGTGGAATAACGATGGGCTTGGAAAAAATGTCATGCTGTGTCCAGATGCTGCCAAAGACCTTTCAGAAGTGCCTCCGGCTGATACAACAATCAACAGAACAACATATCGGATGACACACAGGCTGTTGTGTGCAGATATGAATATTAATAGTTAGACATAAATGTGTTTTCTGTGCTCTTCCAGGGTTTTTTCTGCAGAACAGAGGATGAGTTTGATGACTGGTGTATGCGCATAAGAAGGGTGTGTCTCTCTCTGTCTGTAACATCAATTTTTGTTTATTACAACTTAATAAAGGCATCGCTGTGTTTTTGGAATATCGCAAAAATAATTGTCCTTGTCTTGTAGCTGTCCTGCAACAGAGGGACCCTGCCTATGTTCGAACTCGTAGACAGCCAGCCCTCTCATATGGTCAGCGTGGACACCCTTAACCTTACTCCTGGTAAATATACTGCAAATTATTTTCTTAAATATGCTAAAAACGAATTCAACTCTGTGAGGGGAGTGTTGTAGCTACTCTTTAGCTTAGGGCCAGTGGCAATAATGCTACACTGATTGGTCGTAAAGCTCACCAAACAAGAAAATGCATGACAGCAAGGAAGATGTGTGAATCCCCCCTAAAGATAAATAAAACACTGTTTCTGGAGTCTTAACTCACAGAGTTAATAAACATTAATTTAAATTTTTCTTTTAAATTTTCCTTTGCAGATTTCTCAGACTCAGACAGGTTGGAGCGATTCTTCGATTCAGAGGACGAGGAATTTGAAATCCTTTCCCTGTGACGAACATAACGAACAATGATTTGCTGTTCTCGATGGCGGACGGAAGATTCACCGTGTCTTCTCTGAATCAGAAGGGAAGCCTGAGTGAAGGAACGTGAACTGGAAAACTCTTGAGCCAGTCCAGCTCCAGTGGTGTAGTCAGTGTGTGGCACACAGCCTCCGAATGCTCCATCATTGAGACTGCCTGAGGGAGGGGAGGGAAGGGGTGTGGAGGGGAGCTGTAGCAGGAGCTCAGGATAAATTCTGTATGCACATCTTCACATACACGTGTTTCCATTTAAGTCTTAACACTTTTAAATGTTTCTTCTGAAGTGATATGGTGCCTTTCCCTGACTCCATTAGTAAAATTGCCATAACAGTTTTATGTTGTGTAGAAACACGGTGCGGTCATGATGCCCACGGCTTACGCGGTTTGTCACTAATAACTGACGTCTGTAACAGCCTGTAACGAAACCAAATTTAGTCAAATCTGAAGACAAGTTGTCTTAGTTGTATCCTCGCCAAGTCTGAAACATATACACTCATCCATTGGAAGATTATTTATTTAATCAAAGCAGTATATAGGCAGGTGACAGAACAATAGTTATGTAAAAGAATGAAAAAAGCAAAAATAAAAAGAGCTGAATTTCAATTTGTATAGCTCTCTTGACTTGTACAAGTGTGGGACGTAATATTTTACTCAAGTAAACGTGTGGGATGAAGTTTGTGGGGTGCAGGAGAGGACTTTAGTTTTTAAGAGTTTCACTCCAGAGCTCTCCGAGCGGCAGGTTCTGTGCTTTGTTGATGGCATTGAGGCTGTGGGCTGTGATGTCTTTGTGAACATTTTCAATATTCTGTGCTGCATCGATCACCTGAGGAAGAAAATTTCGATAATTAGAACAAATCGGCGACTTTAGTCTTTTTCCAGATAGTTTAACGTTAATAAGATGCAACGAAGAGACTGTGGAGGTGCTTTCACACAGGAGGCAGCATTGGAGTGCTTGCAGACACCGCTGCCACAGTTCAGCAAATATAAACTTGGACTGCCCTAAAGTAGAAAGAAGACATCCAGCAGACAGAGTGGAAAAGTTCATATCAGAACCACAGGAGGAAAAGACTTCCTTGGAAACGGGTTTCTATCCAAATAGATGCAGCTGTGGCGTTTAACAGTGGTGAAGCTTTGCCTGTTTAGCTCTTTGCTCTGCAGCTCGCTGATTCTAGTAGTGAGCACAGCTCGGTGCATGATACATCCTGTGTGAAAGCCCCATAAGAGAACCTCAGACTGCTTTCATAACTTTGTAAAAATGAAAACTATCCAAGAATTCACATTCTGAATTCTTATTTCTAGAACAATAAATAACACTAGGCCCAAGATAAAGTAAGATAAAGCATACTCTCATTGTTCACTTCAGTCATTGCAGTGCAAGTCAAGCTTTATACTGCTCTCACCAACACCTGTCAGTGTGGAGTGGACCTGATGAAGACAGGTGGAGTAAAATAACGCTGGAGGTGGTAACATGATACATTACTGTATGTGATGGCACAGACTGATCAGGAAAAGGAAGCCAGTGCAACTATAAAGACATGAAGAAAAGCTGTTGGTGTCGCAGGCACGAAATAGAGTTTAGGCGGTGCTTTGCAGCTGACAGGTGGCATCTGATCACACAGATATCGGCCCGATGCATCCCCGTTTTAAACATCCTGTCGGAATAAATCTTCCATTCAGGCTTCCCTCATACCTGCCAGTTTACTGTCTGATCCTTCATCAGCTGTTCAAACCGCTGTTGCACTGTTCTTTGGAAGACGCTCGTCTCGTATCTCTCTTGCCCAAACTGTCCTCTGAGAGCAGCCTCGGCCGGGTTCAGCTGCAGAAACATTACGAGGTCTGGCTTTGGCAGTCCCACATCAGGCTGCATGCACCAGTCCAGGCGGAAGCCCTGAAGAAGACAAAAAACCTCCATCTGTCACGCTCGACTGCATGTTGCAATACCGAACTGATGGATGGAGTTTGAAAAGCAGAATAAATGCACTTACCGGCTTAGCGCTGGTGAAAGCAACTCCAGAGAAAGCATACCTGTCTACAACCAGAGTGATGCCTTGCTCCAGCTTCTTCTTCATTAAAGGCCTGTGGATTAGAATCTGTTAGGCTGTGTAAAGACTTAAAGGAAATGAAACAAAAATGTCAGCACATTTGATACAACCAGCAGTGTTTGCTGTCGTGTTTGCCAATCAGTCCATTTGCACTTAAAAAACTGGAGAAGGAACCAATGCAAATAAAAATTTTAAAAAAAAAGCGTGAAACTGAACTCACCACTATGCACTTTTAAGGACCTGTGATTTATAACATTCATAGCATGAAGTAAAAAAAATGAACATGGCTTATCTAATTGTACTAAACTTGCTGTAAAAAAATAAATCAGCTGATTCTGAGGTGGGAAGCACTAACTGATTTTTTTCATAGAATGATTTTACTTTTTAGGAAACCTTAAAAATGTGATATTGATTTAGGAAATATTTAGTTCTGCATCAATAAACAGCTAGTCCTTTCAGCCATAAGGCTCAAAGCCTGTGTTAAAGGGTCTCAAACCATTTTAATTCACGTGCCACAGGCAGCCCAGTTTGATCTCAAGAGGATCAAACTGCTACAATTATCTGCAAATCATGACTTTGATTTTTTTTTTTCATTATAAAAAATAAATAAATTCACACGTAATAAGCTATTGATTCATAAAATTCACAATGAACTTTCTGGGGTGTCCTATAAAAACTAACATCTGAGTTTTTCTTCACAAAAAAAAAAAAAATACTACTGAAATAAATTAAACAAAGCCATCAATACAAATCACTGGGTTTCTGCTTTGTTAGCGTTTTGCTCAGAATTTGTCCCTTCATTTTTTAAAAAGAAAGACAAGATCAGAAATCTTTGCTCCGTCTTCATCCACCCGTTTGTCTGCTTTAGGTTTTACACCTGACATTAAAACACTCGTCCAGCTGCTGATCACACTGTTGGGTTTTATTAGCCTGGTGTCTCCAGTTGAGCCAGACCATTAGTGTTTAGGCAAAGACATTTTGTTTTACACATATGCAGGTGTTACATTCTGTAAAATGCATTATATATATGATTAAAATAATTTAACTGCAATAAGTATACACCTTTCATTACACCTTTGATTTTATGTAGTGTATAGCCTATATAATAAAAATTAATGTAGCCCAATAACTATAAAAACCAGAAAGCTACAGAACATGGGGCGGTTCATTTACAATCACAAGTCTAACTTACGTTTCATAGTCATTTTTATATCAGAAATAATCTGATTGTTTTGTGCTTGAATGTAAACAAAATGCCAGAAATCTGCACTGTCATCAACACATTTATCACCAAACATTTAAACCTAATATTTCATGTTTTATTAGGTTAACCCTCTGGGGTCCAGGGTATAACTGCCATTTTTTAATAACAGCTTGATCTTCTTTTGCCTTGCTTAGTTTTGTATCATTATTTTCAGCACAACCTCACATGTCTGAATTTACAGTTATTTTTTCATTGCTATACTGTAATAATACATGTGATCTGAAATCACAAAAAAATATGAAATCAGAGTCAGCAAAAGTTTATTTTTTACTGTAAAAACCACAAACATGTTTAGTTAATTATTTTCATAACTTGAAATGCAAATTAAATTGTACATTTTAAAAACCTATGCACAAATTTTGTAAACAAAGACATTTACAGAACAATCAGATGCCACACAAATTGATTGTGCCAGTGAAGTAGTCTGTCTGCCACAAAACACCACAGGCCTGCAGGCCTGACAATATGCAGTATATTCAGTTTTAGAATTTATATTCAGTGTTAATTGTAGCTAGGCTCAAGGTGTTAATGCTAGCTTCTTTTAATAAACAACACTGTCATATGCAAATTTGAGGTGGCAAGAGAATATTATAGGGTGGCACCCCTGTAGATCCGCCCCTGTTTAAGACTGCATGAAGTAAACCTAAAGCACTGAAAAGTCCAAACATGGACTGCTTCCCATTTTCTCTGTATCATTCCTCCTGTAGTGCCTGTCATCAGAGTAACTTGGGAACGTGTCACTTCCTACATGTTAGCTCGAGGATCAGTCCACTGACACTGATTTGCAGCCAATAGGAAGCCGACCTCAGGAGACCTGATTAAAGGTACTGAACACACCTGAGATTTTCTTTCCGCACAGATTTTCATTGGCACATATGTTCACACTAACGTAGAGTCTTACACCATCTCCCAGCGGTTTGCAGAGAACAACAAGTGCACCGTGTGGTCCTCCAAATCACTCTTGTTCTCCAGGTAAGCCCCAATCAGCTGTCCGATCGTCGTGGTCCTGTCTGCATGAAGAAAACCGCCCCGGGACAACACGTCAGACACGTTAAAGCCAGAGGAGAACTTTAAGCTCCTTCGGTGAAAAACGGAAAGCATTCTCACCGGGGAATCTCATCATCTCAGCCGGCCTGCCGCTCTGCTGCAGAGCTTGAACCAGCTTGCTGCACTGCGTGGTCTTCCCGGCCCTGTCCACCCCCTCCAGCACGATGAGCGCTCCTCTCTTACCCGCCATCTCCGACCACTGTCCGTCAGTGCTGCGGTGAACGTTGCAGAAACCACGAACAAACTGAAGCCAAGCCCTAGAAACAGACCTGTGCCCTATCACCATTTGCCGCCTTTTCCTAAAACAAAACGTCAACAAGGAAACACAATGACGCACTTCCTGTTTCATTTCGTCACGTTTCAGCCAGCCCATTAGCTCTCCGACTGCTGCCCTCTACTGTTTACCCATCATCCCCCTTCACAGATCATTTAGATTTTGCCTACAACACCGTGTAAATACTCCGTCAGTCTGTTTGAATTAGAATATCCAAGAAAAGCAAAAATGCAGGAAAGAAAACTCCTACAACTGCTCCAATATCTATGGAAAACTGCTCTCTACTTCCTTGGCTGTACTTAGAACTTCATACACTTAATCACAAGCAACAGTTATGCTGAATAAAACATGTTTTATTAGCACAGGGCAATTTACTGGCTGATTCACCTGTGATTGTGCAATGTCCCGAAGTTCGCTCTCAGATTGAACCCCTCCCCCCTGTCAAGTCTGTCAATTCAATGTCATCAGAAAATCTCAACAAATCACAACAGCAATCTCCTTGAGATGCTTCATATTAGAGATTGATTTATATAAGGTAATAATACGGCGAAATAAGATGACAACCCCTCCTATAAGAGTTGGCGTTAACTCTCCAGGTATCTGATAGTCTGGATGTCGTTTTAAAAGATATTCCCAGATTTGGTGTTTTGATAATGGTGGTGGATAGCAAATAGACACAAAATGTCCCATAACTGTTTAGTTGTTTTTTAGAGCTGGAGGTCATAAAGACTATATATTTTTATTGTTTGCTATCCCTTTTTTGTCCCTTTGTGTCCGGTGGCACCCTGGAAGGGAACACTCCCATCAGGATGAAGGTGATCACTTAAAACTAATTCCAGCTAAATACCCACAGGTCCTGTAAAAGGTGATATTCAACACCTTTCTTTTTCTGATAGTATGGAGGGAAATAATCTGTTTCACTCCCTTTGACACGATGAATGAAATTAATCATTAATTCTTAGTTAAATAATTAGAT